GGAACAGCCGACGTAGCAATTGTCAGCTATTAATAAAAGCGCGCGCCTCTTCATTGCTAGTGGAAAGAAGAGAAAGAGCATGTTCGTTGCGTTTTTTTCCCACCCTTTGCAAATGAGCCGAGCAATCGAGTCGTTTCATAATTTAACAATTCCGGCTTGATTCCATTTTCTCTCCCTTTTATCCTCCTTTCTTCTTTTTATTTTTCTACGTAATTTCTACTTTTTTTTCATTTCGTTCTATTTATTTACTTATTTCCTTTGTTTGTTTGGTATAAACGCGATTATAGAGTAAATATTTTGTTTGTTATACACGAGAGGATGATACCGGACATTTAGAGGGAAGAAATTACGATGTAATCCGGAGCGTGTTTGTGCTACGAGTGATTGGAGGGTAGCAGGAAGGGAAATCGACATATCGTAGGGAGAGGGAATCCTCTTATCGCGACGAGGTATCTTCGAAATCAGGAAATCCGTGGAAGCGCAACAAAGAACTTAAGCTCCGATTTGTTGCTCCAGATTACTTGTTATTACGACCATCTTCCGCGATGCTCGCGCGAGAGATCTTTGCTAGAAGATATCGTCGGTGACCATCGCGATTTGGACAGTATCACAGAAATCGAACTCATCAGATGCGTCTTTCGAAAATTTCTTCGTTTCGTTATCTAGATATACGATTACTGTACAATTCCTAAGGAACGAATGATTTGTTTCCAATCTTATCGTTGACACTGTCGAACTAAACTATCAAATCGAATAAAATGGTTTCAGATTCTTTGCCTTTACAACGAACTAAAAATTTCTACAGATCGTTGACGAAATTTATTAAGCATCGAGATATCGACGTACTTTTCTTATTTATGTTATATAACTTTATCATAATTTTCTATGTACGTATAGTATATTTGACTATAAATTATCAAGTATTACCCTATCTTGAATTTCTTTCTGTATCTATATTTTATTTATTTCAGCCTGGAAATTGGATTTGCTTTTACATAAATTACAAGCATAAATCATAACTGGAACATAAGAGATATGAAACACAAACTTATAAATAACTACGATACCATAAAAATATACCGATTCTTTCGTTATATCTCTCCTATCTTTAAATACTTTAGATAAACATTCTCCTCGTTGTATCATCATCCATTCCGCCATCCATTACCTATCCGTTGTTTCATTTGTTTTCTTTTCATTTTCCAATAATTGCACTTCCCTTCATCCTTGTCTATTTCTTTCCGTGAAATCATTTCGATCAAACCTTATTCAACGAACTGATGCTGCTTATTCGATTGTGAAGTAACAAGTACAATATGAAATTTACGAGTTCTGTTTCATAATCTGCCGAGAATATATTATACAACTTAGAGAAGATTGTTGATGTTAGGAAATGTGGATGGAAAACGAATCGTTTAACCGTTTGTTGGCAATGAGAAGTTGAACTTTGCGATTGGCCCGAGTCCTCGCTAACGTTTCCTCGTATTTCTCGAATGAACAGCTTATTAAACGTGCGGCTTGGCTTAGCTTAGAGTTGTACGTCTTGAAATAACCAGCATTCAGTTAAACGCGGAATATTTGTGAACAAATTTAACCAAAAGTCACGAATCTTTTGATCTTTCACTCAGTTTTCGATTTTGAATATTCAGAGCGTAACTACGTACGACTCTCTATAATTCATCCAGAAAACGTAATTTAGATGAAATTTTGTTACGCGAAAGGAGTCGGATACTGTAGAACGTTCGAGATTAATTTAAATCGCTCAAAGAGAGCTTCCTCTGTGTGTCGAAATTGAATTGAAAGAATCGAATATTGTAGAATGTTTCACGTTAATTTATATTACCATACGATGATCAAAATATTCTGTTGGAATTTAGGAAGGAAACAGAGCATTGGTATTTCAGAAATCGTATTCTGTAAAACTTCTCCCTTAAAAATCGGACGGTGCAAAAATCCGAAAGAAACTCACTGCACTTTCAGAGGAATTTTTAATATAAGCTATCGAATATAATCGATCCACGTGTATCTTTTCATTCGCAAGTTGTCTTACTTTCTCACGATAAAACAAATTTCCTATTTTACTCATCGTCGGTTCTGTGTAATACTAAAAGCGCGTCGGATAGGTCGTAAGGGAAAGAAACAGCGGGAAACGATGCGAGATAGCGAGACGTACGAGCACAGACGTACACACCACTGAGAACACACAGTAACTCAATTTTCCATCCGACAACTGCTCAATCGCAATTAACAAACTGCGGCACAGTCTCGTGCAAACTCGACTGCGTGAGCTTACCCGGGGTTGGTGGGCAGAAGGGGGAAGAGGTTGGAAAAAGGTATCTAGATTTTACGGCTGTCGGATGGCTGGACAAGGAGAATAGGTCGAGAGATAGAATACAAACAGGAAGGGGTAGAGAGGGTTCGATAGAGGTGGATAGAAGCGAGGAACGAACGAGAAAGAAAGAGAGAAAAGAAGAGAGGGTGTGTAGAGACGATGGATGATGGAGGGAACGACGATGAACGAAAAGAGAGAAACGTGGATGGTTAGAGGGATGAAAGAACGAGACACGGAGAGGATAAGTGTGGAAAAAAGTAGAATGCGAGGTGGCGAGAGAATGCGAGGATGGATGCGAGGATGAATAGGTGCGGATAATGCGAACACATCGCGCGGAGTGACGCCCTTATCGTGACAAAAGCACCGTCATTGCGTCGGTTGCAGGTGTGGTTCAGTAATCGCAGGGCGAAGTGGCGTCGAGAGGAGAAATTACGGAACCAAAGGAGAGCAGCCGTCGATCAGGTAGTCGGCGGAGGCAGCAGCGGGGGTGGTAGCAGCACCGCGCCCCCAGCTGCGACCCCTGCCACGCCACGGTTACCCTTAAACGCCGGATTCAACGCCATGTACTCGTCGATACCGCAGCCGATCGCTACGATGCCTGACACTTACAGGTAATCATTCTGTCACCGTCTCTTTCTCTTTTGTTTCGCCAACCGTCTACGTGTATGGTATACTTATACAGGGGTGCAAAGACTTTGTGTATTGTAAGAGCGTATGGATCGAGCTCTCTCGTCGAGGTTGAATACGATGTTTGTTACGGTACGGTGAAAGGATCATAAGTGGAACGATCTCCTAGAGTTAGAGTAGTCAATTTAGGAATGGAGAAGGTTCATAGCTTTTCTTATAATTGTTGTTTATTTATTGTAACAGTCAGAGTTTCTTTACGAAAGTTTTGTAAATATAGGCAAAGATACTTTTGTCAGTTTATCGAGTTAAATAATCAACACTGGTTATTTTTTAATTATTGTCTGTTAAAAATTAGGGTTCCTTTATGAGGAATTCCTGAAGTGTATCGAGAGATTTTTAATTATAATAGTTTATCGAATCGTGTATTTCGAAGAATTTGATGCATTTTTCTATAGCGGTTCATTTTTTGAAAAAGTCTGTGTTATGAAAGTTTCAGTTAACTCGTGGTATTGTTAAATGTTTTTTTTTTTTTACGTATTGGCAGGCTTTTTGACGAGTATAGTTCGTTCTTTTACGTTTCATTTGTAAACCGTGGTAGACTAACAATAGTATGGTAACTGCGATCCGTTGTTTAAAGATTTGGCAATTGTACTACGCTTTAATCGGTGTTGCATTGTTGCAGAGATTACAGATATCGGTATCGTCGAGTTTAAATTTCCCAAACAATCCTCAAATACCTTGTATTTTTCACGTTCAACATTTCACGATTCATTGAAAATCGCGCTGTGTACATAAATATCTGACCTTGTCAAAATTTAATCTTCCTAAAAGCTTATCTTCGAATGTCATTTCCAAAAACAAAAACATCATAATCCAGGCGCTGGCGACTCTTTGATATCGAATATTCGTCGAAACAAATTAAATTCTGCAAATATCGAATTCAACTTGCTACGTTGTATATTTATTAAATTACCGTAACAAATATCGTGTACCGCGTAAAATTCGCATACAATCGTTACACGAAAGTTGCCAAAAAGTTCGTTATTTTTAACCTTCCACGCGATTCAAAGCAAATCGAAATTCTTCTCGGCAAGAATAAGAATTAAAGCTCGACGTTGGCCCCTAAATCCTCGAAACTTGTGTTTTAAACTTATATAGAGGATAAGTTTCGAGGATTTAGGGGCCAACGTCGAGCTTTAGTTTTGGCAATAATTAGACCTGATAGATTCTTATATATTTATGACGAATTTACAGTTACAAAAATTTCCCAAATGCACGTAAATCGTAAAACCGTATAAAATATCCAAATATATCGAAAAATATCGGTCGTTGCAAGTAGGCGAAACAGATCTCTGTTCCGCCTCTTCGTGTCTACAAAAATATAAATTTGCCTGAACGTCCACAGCTTATTAATAACGAAAGCTACTCGACCTATTCGCTAGAAACGACGTTCAGACAAATCGAACATGTTGGTTATTTTGATCTGACGCGGATCTCGTTCCTCTGTTGGCAGCTCGATGTCGAGCAGCTTGGGCGGGTCAATGGGTGGAAGCTGTCTTCAGCAGCGCGCCGAGGGATATCCGGCGTACGTGTTCCACGAGCCTCTTCACTCTCTGACGCAGTCTTACTCCCACGCACACAGCACTGCTGCGCACTCGCAACCCCATCGTGGTATACCGACCTCTCATGGTGGAACCCCCACCACGCCAGGAGGACAGCCTGCAGGACCAGGTGGTGCACCCTACCAGCCGACGACCTCGACCGCGACTGGTGAGTTTCCGCTTTAAAGGATTGTTTGTTTGTTCTTGTTCAATCTTCAAGGCCATCCTCCGGTATCCGCTTCGTCTCCACCACGGCATTTAAACGCTGATCAAGGTCGCCACCGATCGTATACATAGGGCTCCGGTTAGTCGCCTCTTTTCTAGGTTGTACGCTACCTTGAAACGATCGTTCGACTGGATGAATGCAGATCGTGCGAATGAAAGGTGTATTTTATTGTTGGTCAGATGGGTTGTTGGCTGTTTAACTATGGCTATTGATAATACGTACCACGATGATGTGATAGGTGAGTGTTGATTGTTGCAGTGTATAGGTATTAAATTAGTAAATTATCACTAAATTTTCCAAAGTCAATGGCAAACAGAACCACCAGCCTCTGAGAAATCTTCCGAAATACATCAATGGTTCTGTAAAATCGAACGACATATTGATAATATGTACCACGACGATATGATAGGTGAGTGTTGCTTGTTGCAGTGTATAAGTATTAAATTAGCAAATTATCTAAATTTTGCAAAGTTCGTACATTCGTGCTGCTCGCAGGTCAAAGTGAAGTTTAACTTCATTTTTCGAAACGTTTAACATTTTTCGTCAAAGCATTTCATCGATGCTTATCTCGCGTAATTTCCACAATTTCCTCTGCTTTTCGTTTTGTGCGGCTAACCGATTTTACAGATGAACGGCTTATTTAATTCGTAGTTAATATAGCGGTTGCTATATCTTACTACGTAGACAGAAATTCTCAGGAATTTGTAACAGAGATGGTGTCGTGTGTTATTTACGTTTGGTAGTCACTGGATTTTTAACGTGTTCTTTTGTCATCGATAGTTTTAATGTCAGAAGTGGCTTGGAAGGTTCCTTTCGGAGATATTATTTAAATTTCCAAGGCTTTTGCCAGTTTCCAAGATTCTGCGTGTTCTCTCGCGGTTGGACATATTCAAGGCGGATAGACCAAGGGAATGTTGATTTACAGGATTGCTTTGATGTTTGGTTAGAGTAATGGCGCAGATGTTATTGCTTGATGGATCTATTAAACGGTTGGAGGTTATAGTTACTGGTAAATGGTCTGTATGGTTAGACGCTATCTTGATTAATTTATAGGTAAACTGAATTGGTTGGTTAAGAACGCCAATAGCTAAATATGTATGTATCGCGTAATTATTTGATGGTTGTACGTCGTGATTTTCTCATTTTTCTATCTAAATGACTTGTGAACATTTCTTTTCAATTTTCTTCCCTACCCTATAAACGATATTAATTTCCAAGGTAAACTTAACAAGACCAATTCGCCACGCTACTCGTCGATTTGCGTAGTTAATCGACATATGTGTACAGCTTCTTATTGATCCAGATATTTCAAAAACTTCCAAAAACGACCACACGCGAGAAGACCTACCTTTCCACGAAGACCTGCTGGAAGAAATAATTTCCCATTAACAAACGGATTTGAAGATCGCTCGTTTCATTCGTTCGAGCTTCCGAGTTCGATGGCGGATAAAGATCTGGTCGAAACCGGAAGTGGTGGCAGCGAAGCTCGATGGGGAAGAAAAAATTGCGATTCGTGTCGCGTGCTCGCGGCACTCGCGAAACGTGCTCATTCTGTAACATTGAAACTGCCGCTTGATTACGTACACTCGGGAATTCCGTGCGCGCGGCCGTGGCCAAACGACGAAAAAGGATAAACGTCTTCGCGAGAACTCTGGTTACCCGTGGCGAACGACACGAGTGGAAAATACGTTTAATGGGCGCGAGGAAATTTGTGCCGCCGGAAACCGTACGATTGACGTGGAAAATGTTCAAATAAATTCTCGCACGCCTTCCTAACGAACCGTGTGTCTTCGTTCCTTCTCACTGCCGAAGTTCACCCTTTTCACGTTAAATATTTTTTGAATTGCGGGGGAAATTTATTTTACTCGATTAATTATCGTCAACGATGGGAATACATTTTTGATGTTTCGAAAGAAGGTACACTTACGTTCTATACATAGGAGCAGTTATATCAGAAACCAATGCGTTTATGTTTAATTAGTTCATAATATTGTTAAAGTATAATGTCGTGTGTAGGTAACATCAAGCGTGTTGTGAACTGCTTCGATATATTTTTTCGTATCATTTAATTTGCTTCTTTTTTTTCATCGTTCGAACGTCGACTAAACTACCAACCAACAATCCCTTTCGCTTTGCACCTCGAATGCTTCGGCAGAGAGTCTAAACTTTTAGAATAAATCAATTCAGGCTCCCAACAGAATACGAGCAAATCCGTTTAGCCAAAGTCAATGGCAAACAGAACCACCAGCCTCTGAGAAATCTTCCGAAATACATCAATGGTTCTCTAAAATCGATCAGCCAGCGTATCTTACGTGTCGAGGGCAGAATAAAGTGTCTTGTGAAGGCACGGTTAGAGAGCTACAGAACGTTGTTCCGTGCAGAGATCAAAAAATGGTTAGCTAGAAGAACGTAGCTGGGACCAAGCTGATACTACATCGGGTCAAAGTGTGCAAAAACCGAAACAGTGAACATTCCAAAGATGTTAAAGGTGGACGTAGCCGTAGCAAAATTACGTACTAACCATCTTCTCATCTCTGAACGGTAAGCAACAGTGCCCGTAGCTCGTTTAAGCACTTGACCGTTCGTCCACGGAATTGTAAAAGGATTTTAAAACAAATCTCGCACAGGCGCCAGCGGGCAGAATCGAAGATCGGGTATGTTCGGTGGTTTTCCAAGCGCCCATTCCATCCAACAACGTGGCTGCTGAATTTTCCATTTTCCCCGATTCTCACTTTCCCTCCGTCACCCTCTTGCCTTCTGTTTCTTTCTTCTTCGACTTGTCCCTCTTCCGCCAACGACCCTCTCTCACCCTGTTCTTTCTCGTTTAACGAAAACTGTGCGCCGAGGTTCGACCCTCCTGGCTCTCTCTCTCTCTCTCTCTCTCTCTCTCTTTCCTGTCCCTGTCTCTCTCCCTTTCTTGCTCCTTTCTCTTTCTCACCCATCTCTCTCGCTCTCTCGATGGCTCTTCCTCTCTTCAGGGTATACAGGGGGGCGAACAGAGGATGTGGATGGGTTGGGTCTCGCCTCGGCTGGGCGAGCGCTCAATAACGTGCGAACCCAAAGGGGAGGAAATACGGGGGTGCGCGGCGTACCTACAGGAATGAAGTGGAACGCCGTAGAATGGTGGAATACTGCGGAACACGCGCCGGCATTCCTCTTGTCTCCCCCCTTCCCTAGCACCGGATTCTTCTCTTTTCCTTCGTCCCCTTTTTCTATCCGCCTCTTCCTTTCTAGCTCCCTCATCTCCCGGCCCCTGTCGCGAACAGGTTCCCTCTGTTACTCGTTTTCTCTCGCTTCTTACGTGCGGAACGAGCCGCAACTTATCCATCATAATCGTTTTACGTGCATGAGCGCGGGGAACTTTCACCGCGTGTTTCTTTTCTCTCTCTCTCTCACTCTCTCTCTCTCTCTCTCTCTCTCTCTTGCTTTCGTTAACGTTGCTTTTGACGCGTTCCGATGTCCCATCCTTTCCATTGCTAAGCACCCTGGTTTCCGCAATGCCTCTTCACGTATCGCTTTCGCCACGATTCACGTGGAACAAGTATCGGTTTGTTTTGTAGCTGGCTCGTTCGTAAGTAGAGCGAAGAGCGTTTTTAGGTAATTGTTAAGGGTGCAGTTATCGAAGTCAGAATGATCGGTTGGTAATTTTTGTACAGATAGTTCGCACGTAGAATGTTTCTACCATAAGCGTTCAAATACTCTCGTGAGCCATTGTATGTTTCTATAATATCTCATTTTACGATTCGCAAATCTAAAGACTCAAATCTTCGATTTTTTCTCCAGATCCTTGCTTCAAAAGCTAAACTGCTCAACGCCATAGACAGTAACGCAAACAAATCTGATATCAATTTGAGCGTATCTTACAACATACATTATTTATGTCAATTTCTTCCAATAATATGCTTATGAAGCCGAGTGTTCCTTAAGAATTGAACGTTAACAGTGAACATGCGCGAACAAAATTAAAAATACCACAAGTAGCAAAGTTGATCAACTTGCCTCCTAAGAAGTTCCATTGTAAATGTCGCGTCCGTTGTTCCACCAAGAATCTTGTCCACGTCGTACCTATTCCTGCAACACAATCGCAGAACAAAACTAGATCGATCGTTTAATCGGAAAACAAACAATCGCATTGCAGGTGTGATATCGGCTGGCGTCTCGGTTCCCGTGCAGATCCCGTCTCAAACACCAGACCTGACCGGCAACTATTGGCCGAGGCTCCAGTGATCCCAGCTCTTCGGGTTCCCGCCCGC